ACATCAAATATTGTTCGAAATATTTAAAAAAAACTATTTTAGAAAGTAAATTTAAACACCCTGTATTTCGGAAGCCACGCATTTTTCGTCCCATGTCTATATAGACTTTATGCATTAATTTCAAAAGTTCTATCGAACCTTAAAGTTATGCAACAATAAACTGAAACACCCTCTATATCAAGAGTAGATGTTTCCTCTAAGTCAGAATTAAGACAGTTCATCTACAAATAAAAGGAATTTACCATCCTCATACCTCAATCACTGTGTCTCTTCTGAAGATCTATTCGTCAAAGTCAGGCAGAAAGAAGGGAAGAAGGAAGAAACGAAGGAAGGGAGAAGAACGAGGTGCGTCTGTTGGAGGGGTGCCTTGATAATTTTAACTAGTATTCAGACATTTTGGATTGATCTATAGGAAATTTAGACATTTATATGTGCTGGAAAATTTGTAATTTTGATTGAGTCTAGAATTGCACGATTTACTTTTATTCAGTGCGAGTCGCGGTCTTGTGCGCTTGCGAGCTTTTCGACTATGTAGTCTACTGCGCCTCTTGTTTGATGTAGTCTCTTAGGTAAGAAATGTCAAGATCTCTGTGAAAGGTTGGAGACATACGATGGCCGTTAGTGACGGTACGCAAGATTCTGTTCTGCAGAACCTGCGGGCTACGAATATCCGTTTTGACCAGGAAACGTCATGCTGAACATGTTGTTGATAACCATCTTGTATAGCCGAAATTTGTTGATCAAACCTAATTTTGAGGTTCTGCATAGCATAAGGCAGAGTTGCCGGAACGTAGTTTGTAATTTGGCTTTTAATCCTTCAGAGTGCTTCTGCCAAGTCATTCTCTTGTCAAGACTAACACCAAGAAACTTGACAGAATTTTTACATGGTACTCCGTTCACTGACACCTCAGTTGGGGCGCCGCTACGTTTTGTAGTGCAATAGATAGCCTGCGTTTCGAGTAGTTAATTTTGATCAACCACCGATCCGCCCAATCCAGTACCTCATCCAACACACCTTGTAACCTATCGTGAACCAGATTCCCGGAACTTGACTGCGCCACAGGCGTCAGCAAATAAATAGACGTCATAGTCACTGGGGCAAGGGACGTCTTGAGTGAATAGTGAATACATGATTGGCCCGAGAACCGAACGATTTCAAAAACTTTAGGATGCAAAATGGAAAGCCCTACTGAATTAACTTATAGAGAAAATGCTTGTGCCACACCTTGTCAAATGTTCCCGAGACTTCCAGAAGCAAGATATCGGTACTTTCGTTAAGGGTGAAGCCCGTGGTTACTCGCTCCACCAGACAAATTGCACATCAGGAATCACATGGTGGTCTGACGAGTAAACTCTCAAGCTGACGTAGAATTACCTGTTCAGCGAGCTTAGATGGAGCTGACAACAGGCTAATGGGACGATAATCCTGGGAGATATCAAACCCACATTCCTTGGAATCATTAAAGCCTCCACAGTCTTCCACGCGATTGGAAGTACTGGGTCCTTAGCATGGTATTGATTATTGCCGTGAGATAAGTCAAAGACTTCCGCAAAAGCAGCTTCAATACCTTATTAGTGAATTGATCCTCTCCAAAAGCTTTACGCACCTTGATATGACCTTGAAGTTCTGCTGCTGTGCAATGCGGGATCTGGGAAGATAAACTATGCTATGCAGCTCTTTTGTTGGAGAATCTTCCAAAAAAAAAATCTCTTGAGGAAGAGTCATTAATGGTGACGACGTAATCACTGACGTCATTGGCCCTGAAATATCTCAACGATATGTTGCTCCTCGTCCAGATCATTATCAGAGAGCTGTCTCATAAGCGAAAACCTTGACCTTACCTCTGTCCTGAAGACTAGGCTCACAGGGCCGTCGGTACCCGGGAGGTGTACTCGTTTTCCGTTTCTAAGTGACTTCGCTACTTTCCAGAGGGGAATACTTGAATCAAACATCCCTGCTAGAAAGTCGTTCCATTGCTCATTTCGGAACTCACGAAGAGCACTTTTTACTTCATGAACAAGATTCGTACATTCTTCCAAGGTTTGCCCACTTCCAATACAACAGCAAGATGATCGCTAGAAATGTCATACATGATTCGAGAAGTGGTACTGTATCTACAGTTTCTAGATATTGCGAAGTCAGTGTTATCTGGTGCCTGAAGGTGATTAAGTGGGTGATGCGTGGGCTCTTCAGTACTGGTGTATGAGGTAGCCGTTCCGTTTTACATGGTTCTACAGTCGTATCCCACCTGTGGAATTGAGCCTAGTGTCATGCTCGGTGTGTAGCAGTTGAAGTCTCCTGCAACAATAGGCGGACCCGAGTAGTCCATAAGGACTTACAGGTCCGCTTCCTTAGGCAGCAGCGGTGGCCGCAGTAGTAGACTCTTCGGTCTCCTGATCAGTCGCCGTGCGCTGTGCGGGTTCGAGTCCCGTCCCAGGAGAAATTTTTCTCTTGGCTATGGATGTTGTGATTGTCCGTAGGTGGTAGACGGTCTCTGACTGTCGAACGTGGAGGCACCACCCGGCGGATCTCGTAGGCGGAGCCAGAATGTGTGCATGTTGCATGCACACGTGTTCCATCGCCGAGTCCGTGTGGCGTTCCCCCTTTCCTCTGTATCCCCCTATAGCCCCATGGTACGCAATGGGTGTTTAGGCCTTAGGCCTTCGTGGTAGTTGGAGTATAAAAAAAAAAGGTCCGCTTCCTGCAGCCTGACATCACACCTCACGTACAATATGTGATCCTCAATGAGACATCCTGCATCATATTGACCATCAAGGAAGCTGCTTTGAATTTCGGCATTTGTGCTTCTATGGCAGTGGATACCACGTTCCACTGAGACTGCCAAATTAACTGACAGTTAACCTATCAGTTTGTATAACATCATAATTCAGGAAGGCGAGATGATCTCCCGGATTAAGCAATGTTTAATGCGGCAGCGTATCTATATTTCCATCTAAAGGAACTTGATGAAGTTTCCGTTTTTTAGGGAATATCCCTGAGACCCAAACAATTCCAAAAAAGAATTTTGATAAATGCTGTCTGCTATTATACCTAGCCATTTCTCGGAAAGATCGCATGTGAGATCTGTGTAGTGCTTATCAGAGAACTAATTATCCACTACAAGGACTTCAGTGCTGTTGCCAGGTCCACGTTTTGAACAGTTGAAGGTGAGCTCGAGGCAGCAGGGGCAGCTAATGTTTCATGCTTTGCTGCGTCTGCGTATGATTTTACTCGCCTTTGTGCAAATACCTATAAATTTCTCTTAGTTGTGGCCGGATGGTCTCCTCCACAGTTCGCACACTTGCGCTTCTCTTGTCCTATTTGAAACCACAGATTTGTCATGTGGTCTTGAGCACATTTGAGCTGCTTCGGAGGTGCAGTGCAGTACGGTTGCGTGTGTCTTTACTTCTGACAGCGGTGACACTGCCTAATGAGTCGAGAGTTCTTGTGAAGCTCAACTCTGATAGAGAGCCGCAGCAGTTCGTGTCCGTTAAACACTTGTTCTGACTGACAATGTCCTTTAGGCAATTCCAATAAAAAAACTCAAATATATATATAAATACCTGTAAATGTATGCGATATGATGTATTGGCAAGAGAAGAGGAGATAGTGGCAGACTTCGAATGGATGTCGACAGTTAGGTTTGGGATGAAGTGAATGATGAAGCCTCAATCAGGAAAATAGCTCGTACGGTAGGCATTCCTAAAAAAGATACGAATTGTACGCTTTTGAGGTACATCGGTTAGGATGAGAATTTTATCCGACGATGTTGAAGGAAACTGATAAAAATCTTTTAACCTATAAGTGAGAGTCTTCGTGCAGAAAATACAGATTCACTTAGTTGGCATGTGGAGTATCTCCACGCAATAAATAAAGATCGCTCCCACATACAATTTAGAGTAAACCTGTGGAATGAAAATATGACCAGGAACGGGAAATCTACCTGGACTTCCTAAGAATGCGGCTGCCTAATTTGTTGGACGATGTGCTGATATTGATAAGGCGAGAACTGTGGCTACAACAAGACGATTACCCAGCACACTCCGATCGGCCTGTACCGCGATCACCTTAATAAACGTTCGCACGCCTCGACTACCAAGAACTCCGGACCTAAATTCATTTTTTTACCGAGCATGCTTAAAAGATATAGTCAAACAGAAGTGATTTCCGTCACTCATAAACGTGCAAATAGCCTCTCCGGAGATCCCGCAATGGGATTCTCGCAATCATTTATTATTACAAGTTTTTATTCCACTTGATCTGTTTGTTAGTGTGGTGTTTGGTGAAGCTTGGAACTTCATATTGATCTATTTAGTATTGACCAGTTGAGCTAAGGCTTTACACACACGTTCGGTATGCGTGACAAAATGAATTAACAGTCGCTATTTTGAATCCAATAACTTCGGTATGAAAACGTAGCGCACCGCTACCCACTATGAAGAAATGCAGCAAGAATTAGCGTGGTGGTTTGTGTGGCGAATGACTGAGGGGTTTTACTAAGTTTGCCATTTCTGGATAATCTCACACTTCGGGCTGGAAGGGACGACAGTGCAGATTGCCGCGTCAACGTTGCTAGGCAAAGCAGTGATGAGCAATCCAGGCGGCTCCTTTCTCTTTCTAACGTATGGGTTTATACACACTTCTCTCTCATAGACATTGAACTTGATCCGTTAGACAAATTTGGTTCTCAATGTAAATATGTTAAATTAGATTAGTACCTCAAAAGCTGCTCGATAACCTCAATTTCCCCTAAGCTCTGTTAAATAGTTGAATTACGGCTATCCGGTATCAATCGATTCCTGAAAGTTACTACGTCTAACACAACTTAAGATACAATATGAGCATTTTTAATCCAAAATCTCATGAAGGTGATTAGGAGTGGAACAAGCTACTTAATCTCGAACTCAAAAACCCATTTAGGAGCATGGTATCTAAAAATTCGATTACTAGAGTGTGATATAAATATTAATCGACTCTGAGCTGGCTTATTCCAACTAGCAAGATGGGTAAAACTACACTCCTAATTATAGCTACCGTGTCGTTGTGTCTCTGTGAAGCAGGTGTTATTAAAGAACATGAAAGGCTCGACTCTAGCCTAGTGATTTGTCCGAATATACCAACTGATCCGTAAGTTGTAGTTGACAGTTTCTAGCAGCTGTGTATATGATTACTTCAAAAATGATGTAGCCTTTGTGTTTACTTGAACAAATAATGATTTGAATTAATGCTTATGGCGTAATTTTGTATCATAATTGTCTTGTGTTTGTGAAGAGCGTCGTGAACATGTTCTAAATGGGACGGCAATTCCAACTGACTTAATACCTTGATAGCAGTTTGCGACCATGTTTAGTAAGGTTGATCGCTGAAGAAAGGATTCTGCACCTGAGTCATAGAACGGAGAAGCTATCCGGTACGCCTATATTATTTTTTTAGAGTATAATGTATTTATAAACATCTTTACCCATTCCAGAAAACACAGTGCTTACAGCATCATGATATCCTGAATCTTATAGGAACATACATGTAAATAATGTCTTCAATCAAGAGGACGCAAATCAAGAAATAATGTCCTACGATTTCTAATATACACACAGTGCTCTTCGAAAAGGTTGCTTCCTTTACTTAGCTTTAGCGCCGTATCGTCAGTCGTTTCTACAATTGTAGGACGCCTTTATGACCTTCTTGATTTCCATAGTTTCTCCTGTCCTTCAGAAAGGCTGTGATATTTCTAGATTTCTACTGTTCCGTGTCAGCGTCAGTGCTCTCCTATTGTCAGGCTATGTTTTCTTCTCGAATTGTAGGAAATTTCAGGCTATATAGCAGATGACATAAATCAAAAGCATGAACAGTTTGATGGAAATAGGCATTTGTAACATAACCTCAGAATAAAGACGTCCTACAATTGTGAGAACGACTGACGATACGGGTCAAGTTAGCGAGCTGAAGTTCGGGGTGACGAAATTACTGGATGGATGCTCTACGTCAAGATGGCGTCATCTTAGAAGATTTTTTAAATAGAGTCTGAGGTTATGTGACACCTTATTATTGAGATCGATATTGTTTTCACGAGTATCCATTACGGTAGAATGACAGCTGATTATCTAGTAATATTTCAAAATTGCCCATATGGGCAAAGAACATAATAATTCTGATGGATCCGTCAATGCCAGGTAATCCAGGTAGACAGAGCCATATTTTTTTGTGTACGTTACCAATTTAGTTTGTACTTGTAAAAAGCTCTTTTATTTAGAAAAGCTCATTTGCATACAAAAACAAACGCGTCAAACAAGTTTTACTGGTTCTACACCTTGTGAGGTTAAGTGGTAGATTAGCCAGCTGGCTAAACTTCGCCTCGCAGTGTGGAGGGATTAATAAAGACATTATTATTATTATTATTATTATTCATTATTGCCAACGTGGCGAACCCACACAAAAATGTCACTTGCTGATCAGGTGTTTACCTCAGTAGGCGCCAAAGCATGATAGATACTCGTGAAACAGGGTATATAGCTCTAGAATGTAAATTTATTATCTCTCCAAGTGTCAGACTGACGGGTTGTCAACGTTAGTAAATATCGATAGTATGGACCACATAATATGCCTTAGCTATTTATTTAATTCCAGGAGTCGATTGCTGATTGATACAGAAATAGATGAGCCTGCCAGCTGGGGAGCAATGGAAAGAATATACGCCTTCCCGGAAGCAGGAGTCTTTTCAGCCAAAATCGCTTGTATTCTGGTAAGTGGGCATTTTTGGTAGATTCATACTGTATGTCTATAACTACCAATAGCAGAACTTAACTGAATCGGATATTTAAACATCATCATCATACGAAACGAATTTCCAGAAGTTCTGAAGAACGGGTTTAATCACGTTGACTTAGTCGATAAGGCTAAATATCACATTTCAAGTAAATCGGACGAAATTTGTTTTTATTCCACACAAATCTTCAACCTCATTCGATCCCTTTAGGGATAATATTTACAAAAACCTTTAAGCAGCAGTTGAATGATTTTAAAGTTTTGGTGCTTGCCTCCATAGTGAGACCTTACAGGTTAAGAAGAACATACAGTTCAAATCTCATGTCCATGTTCATCGGTTTGGGTGTGTGATGACAATCAATTATTAGTCAAAACACTATTTCATAGAATTATATAGATTTAGATAACTTTTATGTTCATAAACGATAACGACGTCAAGGGAAATTTACAAAAATATATATACAATCAGCATCAAGACTGTCTATGCCATCTCTGAGATTACTGTGCAAAAAAAGCTCACAGACAAAACAGACGGAAATTCTAAACAATTCTTTTTGGCTTGTGACATGAGTACAAATTGTTTTATCTACTACTGGTCGGAAGAGTGCATCTGATGAATAGGTTTTCCAGGCGTTCCTCCACTTTTCAGCCTGCGGACTTCTTTATGCCCTAGGGCGGTTAAGAAACTGTCACATGTTATGTTGATTAACCTATATTGCAAACTACAATATATACGATCGAATACATACAATTTTGTTATACACATGTCGGAAGCAATGAACCATGATACGTCTCTTGGCATGTAACGGCTTCCACTAACCGGAGAAAACAAAACACAAGCAAAATTGTAACTTTTCGCAAACTTCTTGAAGACTGGCGTGCATTTTTCCTATCAATTGTTGTAAATGGTTCTTCAAAATCAGAGGTAGTCATTCTCAGAAATATTTTAAATGATGTGCGATGTTCCCCATACAATCCAATATCATCATTTTGGTGTTAGCGTTTCCTGCTACTTAAAAATGTTTGAATCATTAGTAAATATGTACGGTTAAAGTATTTAGTTTATCTTGTTTATATCAGACACATATAGTCGTAGTTACAGACACAGCTAGTTTATCATAGACACTGTACATAATACACACTCACTTTTTTCCAAGGACTTCAGTATCAGCAAGCCGTAACCAGGTATAAAAAAAGCTTCTTCTCTAAGCATGTGGACTGGACATTGAAGAAAAACTGTCCTTTGTCTTCCTCGCGACAGTCAATGGAAAAGGGCCGAAAACAAAAACAAAACTCTAACGAAAAGTAGCTCGCTTGATGGGAACAAGGATCTTCGGTTTGTTTCAGTTTTATTTTCGTTTTTCAGGATTTAGGAAAGACAGACACAACATAAACTCATCGATCCGTTTAGTGAAAAGGATTTGGGGGAACAAGAAACCTAAGTCACACGTTAATAAATAACCATTTTCATATAAAGGCACATGAAGTGTAGGTATCTAACACACGACACGCTATAATTTATAAAATGCGTTGTTGGAAGACCACGATATTCCTCACGTTTTCACGCCAAAAGAGCAGTAAGGCATTCACTCCCTCGCGGATGAAAACAACAGATCTTTTAGTGATGGAGAACACGCAGATGGTTCTGGATTCAGTTTATATAATAGTATGAAGCACGGATACTTTCGACCGACTGACAACATTTCAGATGGTGACTCTGAAGGAGTGAATCTAGGGGAATAAATACATCTTTGCCTTATTGCGGTTGATATGTGGCTTATGTCTTTTTTAACGGATGAATGCCTTTTTAACCCCCTATGTTTGTCTGGCCAATCAAAGCGCATGTATTTAAAATACTTGTTTATTGTAAAAGTTTCGGTACAAAACTGACAGTTTTTTAACAATATATTATATTTAGTTCTTTCAGGTGAGACTTCGTCTGTCTTTTTCTTTTTCGTCTTCACATTCCTATATAGTGAAGCCTGGAAGGCCCGCAACATGTTGAGACTGCGCAAAGCCCTCAAATCTTAAGATGGCACCTCGCAAGAACAGCATAGCCCAGGATCGCCTGGGTGCGCATTCCCGCTCTCAAAAAGAGTCTGGCTATCTAATAGATACGGGACCATGAGGGTATCTGTGGTTTTTAATGTACCTCTTTTCTAGTCATTAGGTGAACTGTGACCCAATATCCTTGAAGGAAGACCTAATCGATATTCCTATAACCTAACTGCTGGATCATGAGCATTTTATACAGGTTTTTCTCATGGTCTGTTATTGGACTTCAAACACGCAGATGTTTTACTTCGCCATCTCAAGGCCTAACTGTCTTATTCTATTTTCTCACGGGGCAAACAACATGGTTCCCTATCGAAGTACTATTTCTTGCGTTTCAGATCCATGAACAAAAAATTTAAAACTTTTTAGTCTACTACTAACCGGTGCGTTCTGACAACAGTTCTGGGTGGGTTTTCGCATTTGGCTGGACCTCATTTTGGGACCGGAAATGCACATCCGAGGCGGTTTGGAATTATCGCTTCGCGCAATCTCAGCATGTCACGAGCCTTTCAGACTATTGTAGTATCACACTTTGAAGCAATGTGAAAACCAAAAGAAGAGACAAACGAACGGTCGTGTGGGAGAAAGTTCAATGAAATATCATGTCAAAAAATTGTCAATTTCATGTGGCGACTAGCCATACAAACATGGGGGATTATCGCTTGAATACCACAGGATAAGTTTCAGATGTTACGTTAAACTATTTTTTTCGTCAGTTTCGCAATACCACAATACGGCATTCGGAGTTGGATCATCTATGTGCCAGTATACAGGGTGTTCCTCAATGATATGCGAATATTTAAGTGTAAAGAATGGAAATTAATTAATATTTTCAGAACCGCTTCAGATGTTTCACTGATATTAAGTACGTAGTGATAGTTGATAAAGTTGCATATTTCTCAATGCGAAAATAATTTTTAGCTTTAACAGTGGCGTGCGTACGGGTATTGACTTTGACATTTTTCAAGAAAAAAATGGTACGCCAATGGTTTTTTGCCAAATAAAAATTATTTTTGAATTCCCGGTTCAATTTAAAAAAACGATCTCTCTCGAATTGTTTTCCTTCGATGCGCCATTTTTGAGTAAAAAAATATAAACCGTTCTATTGTCTAACTTGCAAAATTATTATTAATTTAATTGGAAAAATTAAACACATTAGGGGTAATGAACAACAACAACTGACAACATAAACATAACATTAAAACCAACAAAATTATTACAAAAATTCTTGAAAATGGCCTCCTTCACCTAATATGCATGCTTCCGCCCTCCTTCTCATGGAATTGGGCACTCGTTGAAATATCCCTGGAGTGTTTTTGATTCTATCACAAGCAGCAACTAGTCTTTCTCTTAATTCCTCTACAGTGATAATGGGACTTGTGTACACTAGTGTCTTAAGATAGCCTCACAAAAAGAAATCTAAACTGTTGAGGTCTGGGGACCTTGGTGGCCATTCTTGGGGCCCACCGCGGCCAATCCACCGATTTGGATGAACAGTTTGTAAATAATTACGAACCGTTACACTGAAATGCGCTGATGCACCATCATGCATGTACGACATATTGTTTCTTATTACGAACGAAAGATTATCAAACAGCTAAGGCAACTGTTGTTGAAGAAAATTTAGGTAAGTCTGTCCGTCAAGTCGTCCCGGCAAGAAGAATGGGCCAAAAAGTGGTTGCCAATAATTCCTGCCCATACGTTAACCAAAATTGGTGTTGGAAATGGGTTTCGGTTACGGCATAGGGATCTTCTGCCCACAAATGATTATTGTGGAAATTCTGGATATAACATTTCGAAAAAAATTAGCTTCGTCCGTGAACAGAATCATTGATTCAAATTGTGGATTTTGTTTTTAAGATACCACTGACAAAAGGTAACACGCCTATCAATGGGAAGTAATGCCTGTCCTCTTAAAATATGGTAAGGATATAACAAAAAATCCACTAAAACTCTCCATACAATTTGGTGGCAAATATTAAAGTGTCTAGCGATCTTCCTCGCACTCATTTCAGGATGTTCTTCGACTTCGTGCAGCACTGCTTCCTCAATTTCAGGTGTTCTCACACTTAGAGGTCTACCTTCAGATGTCCCTTTTCGGACAGAACCAGTTTCAACAAGACGACGATGAACGTTAGAAAAGGTTCGGCTATCTGGCAAAGCACGATCGGAATATCTCTGGTTATAAAGCCGTCTGGCGACAAGATTGTAAAAACTAAATAATGAAAAAGATGAGACTTGTCAGATGTCAAAAGCCAGTGACATATTCCAGAGCAACTAGATATTTATTGCTAAATTGCATTCTTCAATTATTACAGTAATGTTCTCGAACAATAGAGCCGTTTTTATTTTTTTTACTCAAAATGGCGCATCGAAGGAAACCAATTCAAGAGAGATCATGTGTTTTGGATTAAACGATGTATTCAAAAATAATTTTTATTTGGAAAAAACCGTTGACGTACCATTTTTTTCCTAAGAAATATCGAAGTCAATACCCATACGCACGCTACTGTTAAAGCTAAAAATCATTTTGCATTGAAAAATATGCAACTTTATTAACTTCCACTACATACTGAATATCAGTGAAATATCTGAAGCGGTTCTGAAGATATTAATTAATTTTCATTTTTTTCGCGAAACTTCAACACCCCGAGTGTTTGTAAGGAAACATTTTTTGACCATAGTTCATAAAGCAAACTATCATTAACTTTTCATGTAGATTACACCCTTAAATATTCGCATATCATTAAGGAACACCCTGTATGTCATAATCAACGTGTAAAAATGTGGCTTACTTTGTCTGTATTACATTACTTTGTCTGTTATCTTGGTGTATTCCCACCAGTAATTGATGTATGTTATATGGTGGTAAATAAATAAATAGTCTTTATTCAAGTCGGATATCGTAGACAACAAATAACAGTGCTTGTAAAAATTTGTAAATTCTGTGATGATTAGCTTGTACCATTCTTCACCAGATAAGTTGATGTCTGCCACCTGTAGCCTTCTTTAGCCTTCGAAAATACTAATATTTTTTTTTGAAATGACAAACGCATCTGACGCAGTGTTAATGGAACAACAGGACTTTCACGAATTTGGTTTCGCAACTATGACGAGGTGAACCGTAGACAGGGAGTCGATCAAATCCAAGGAAACGACGTTTCAGTTATGTCACTTAAGATCTAAAATACGTGTTTACAAAACACACTCTTATTAAAAGTCGACAAACTCGCCGTTGGCTATTCGTCATTGTAGTTGGTCGTTGCAGTTTAGTTGCTCCCGTCTGCGAGTGTCAATTATCAAGATCTTAGAACGTTTTTCTGATGGTCGCTTTTAGATTTTGAGGATCATTGCAACTGCAAAAGTTGAAACTTGGCCAAATCGAACAACTGACGGCAACTGCAATGCGAACGACCAACGACGGACGTGGAGTTCATAAATCGGCCTCATAGAACTATTACCCTTAGCCTACAACATCTTCTTGCAATAACCCACAGTAATCTCAAAAATAATTTTTTTACAAGAAGTTGCGTCATGCTTTTTAAGTTTAACGCCACCCAATCACAGTTTCCTCAAATACAATCGAAATTACACAGAAAATGAAAAAAAAGTGATTCAGAACTTACATAAAACTCACATTTTTTTTCAATCAATGCGGCGTCAGCCCTTGTTGTCGCAGGCTCGTCAATTATCGTAACCGTTATATTTTATTGTTACAGGTGCAGGATGTGTCCATTGATGGAAGAGGTGGCTCCGCTTCAATTGTCGCGGGAGGACTTAATGCATTACGACTAGTAATCAAACTCAGGTCAAACCCTGGACATGAACTACGCTACAGAATTCAAATATATTCATAATAATAAAAAACTTATTTCAAGTCACTAAACCATATTTGTGAAATCTTACTTTTTATTTCTATTACCTGTATTTCGTACAAACCATTCAAGTTATATCGAAATAGGACAGCGCAAAGTGCCATCTATTACCACAATGGACAAGCAGGCTGTATATTGGTATATTACTAGCCTACTCAACGGCGAGTAGACCGTATCTACTATAGCACCAGAATCGACGGTATCTAGCGGCAACAATGGTAACCTGGCTAACAATCCGAACTGGGAAACAGTTCCAACAGACAGCAATCTAATGGTAATGGATGATACTTTATGTTGACATACTTTGATATACCTTATACTGGATGGGTGATAATTGCTCAGCTTCCTTCGTTGTTCTATTTGAGACCATGCCTAAACCATACTCAGGAGTTGCACGAACCAGCGGTCGTCTGTGATCGGACGAATTAAAGCTAGTTCACCTATATGCTGCATAACTATGAATCTACTCTGCGTATTGTACGACGAGCATTTGCCAGGTATGAAAATGGTCTACGAAATGTTGAGGCACAAGCACCAAGGCAAAACTGCGCCAAATGACAGCATGTATATTCAAATTATCTCGACAAAAACTTACATACCTCTAGAACTGTAGAAACTTATAAGGTTTTAATTCAGTTTATTTAAACGGATATATATTATACCTATGATACATTTGTGTAAATGTGTGATATAATGATATATTCAATAATAATTAAGAATATATCAAAATATATCACAAGGTTTCGTTTTAGTAAATACCCACGAACATGCAACTGCCTTCTGCCGGTTCATTTGTTTTGTTCGAGATTAACTGTATTTTACAAATAAACATTATTATTATTATGATTATTATTATTATAATCATTATTATTATGTGCCCCAGCATGATGCAAACCGTATTCATGATTGGCACATGGGCCCGTTACTTTTGGGCTTGCAAATATTTAAAGAAACTTCTAGCATATATTGCACAATATGTAGCACAGTAAAAACAATCTGAGACCTAATGGGTCATTTGAGCAAAGCATAAAAATTGAGATGTAACGTTAGACTTGTCCCGTCTTGCTTCAGGATGGTTTCCTATACCTCGCAAATTTTACTGACCCGAAAATGCTTTTAATGTTGGACAAAATACAACAAGGGTGCTTTGCAAACGATATATCTCAAGGGTAGAAGTTTGGTGGCTTATTAAGACTGGAATTCTCTCAGCATAAACACAGTTTACCTATTTATAAATAAAAGGAACTTGATTTCCTCATACATCAATCGCAAGTCTCTTCTGGAGACAAGAACATTGTGTAAGCTTAAACTCTGTTGCCAATAAAGGGGAGTAGTCACACATGGAAAAAGGTATTAAAAAATTAGCATAATTCAAAATTTCTGAAAATAAAGGCTAACAAATTTGCTTGTCCAGCTAGACTCTGCGATATAGATTTTTTGTAAAAGCATATATAAAACTTGAATAATTATTGATACCTTCAAGAGGATCTCACAGAACTATTTTACAAAAAGAAGAAACAAAGTCGAAATATAGATATTTCTACTATTCTTCGACAACAAAATATTGATGTACCAACATATATTCGAGCCCCTTCCCCCTTCAGTTGGCCCACTTCAAGAATTGTACCAAAATATGCCTTTATAAACATGACGAAACCATTTACTTCTAAAACAATTTATTTTCTCGAAAACATTTTAGCCGTAAAAAATACATATTTGAAATCACTTAGACTTATAACTAATAGAACATCTGGACAAATAAACAATGCGCGAATAAATGCTCGAAGTTAACAAAGCAACAATTGAAAGATTACCATTGGGTAACATCACCTATATTTTTATTACATCTGAAATTCTTTGGGACATAGTGTTAACCAAGTTTTGGCAAAAATTTGGTGTAAAACAATCCCATATTTCTTGAAGCTTTTGTCTCAGTTCGGTGATTGTACGAGCAGGATGTTGTCGTAGAACCCTTTCATCTCGTGCCACAAAGTTTCAATAGGTGACAGACTTGGACTGATAGAAATCCATTTCAAAAGTGGTACATTATTTTGTTCCATCCATTTTATAGCCTTTTTTGAGGTATGGCTCGATGCAAAATCTTGGTCGGATGTCAAACATTCTTCCATCACTGGTAAAAGCGATTCTTCTAAAATTGCCAAACATTTGTTTGTATCCACATTTCCATCAATAAAATGAAGTTTTCCTACTCCTTTTGATGACATACTGCCCCAGACCATAATGGGTGCTGGAAGTTTCACTTTTCTCTTCAGACAGTCAACATGGATTGCTTCATTTTTTTTGCGAATAACTCTATTGCGACTGTCACCAACACAAACTTCGAATCGGGCCTCATCACTCCATTGTATTGCACGCCATTGTTGAGGTGTCCATTGTCTATGTTCTTTAGCCCATCTAAGCCGATTTTTCTTTGGCAGTAGAGTTAATAGTGGCTTTTCTTTGGCTTATAAAAAAGTTGTGCAACTTTAGGGTTTTTACTTCACTTTTTTTTATAAGAAAACTTACCTTGCAAGTGCTAAATCCCAGTTTGTGGGCCTCTCTATGAGTTGTGGACCTCGAAATTCTCCTTCCAACAGCGTCACTCCACAGAGCACTTAATTTTAAATAATTGGCACGCCTGTTTTTCACGATTATTCTTCTTAATGCTCTTCGGTCGGCATTTGTGATATTACTTTTTTCACATATCGTGGCTTAATATTAACTGAACCAGTTACGTTATATCTTCTAACAATATTTCTTACACTGAACCGCGATAAGTCTAACAAAGTTGCAATTTCTGAGTTTGACTTCCCAGAATTAAAAAATTTAATTATCAGTAACCAAATTTTCTCACTAATAACCTCTCCTCTACCCATTTTGAAAACCTTAACTACCCAAAACTATTTTAAACGTATTCTGACAGCTGTGATTAATAAAAACAATTGTCATGGCTTTTATTTTTCACAGCCACCTATGCGTTATACACTTATTTTGCATTGAAATAAGAATAGGTTGATATGCTGTAATTGCAACATGTGTTATTTTTATGTTGCAAATTTGATTAGGAGTGATAAAGTTGGTGTTTTCTACTATATATTATCAAAATATTCATTGTTAATATTTTAAGCCTATAACACCCTGCTACATTTTTATTATTTGTATTTGATAAGAAAAAAACTAAGATTTCAATAGTTGGGCCAACTGAGGTGGGAAGGGGCTCGTAAGATAAATATCTCCTCGAAGGAAACACTTAAAAAAGTGGAATTTGAATAAATGCACACGGTTTTAATTTAACTCTAGATTTGTTGCTTTATCCACCCTGGGCTGATCGACCAAGGGATTTAAAAAACGCATGCCCTGAGTCGGAGTCAAGGACACCATTTTTTTAATTTTACTCTAACATCTATCGCGAAATGTACTGGTTGTTGAGTCCCAGGGTTCTTCAAACCAAAAAGCCTAACAAATCAACAACTAAGGCTGTATTCTTGCCCCGCTTACGAGATCCGCTGAGTGGTACCTCCGCGTACGACAGTCAGAGATCGTCTACCACCTACGGACAATCACAATATCCATTGCCAAGAGAAAAGTTTCTCTTGGGACGAGATTCGAACCCTCACAGCGCCCGGCGGCTGATCAGGAGACGGAGCGACTACCACTACGGCTCCAGCTGCTGCCTAAAGGCAGCACAAACCAGGTGATCACAAGCAAATGAGAAGGTATTGTTAACCATACTTTGTTGCTACGTTGTTCCAAACGCTTTCAGTAGTGTTGTTTGCCGTAGGATCTTAGCCATCACAAGCTAAGTACAAGTTACCATCACAAGCAACGGATTTCAGTATTGAGTCGTTATCCCAATCGTCTTCATCCGTCATTGGTGTGGAGCTGACTGTCACAAGCCAACAGTGTCAGAACGTTATCCGAAATGTCGTGTCAGGCATAGTCTGCACGCCACTTTCTGATTCTGCTCCGCGACGAAAGTAACCTTGAGGACGATCATTCGACAATGCACATTTTTCGGTCAACCTTTGGTCCTTTGTCGTATCTTACATGTTATCCGTTTGGCACGAGAACAAGGAATGAGTGCTTGTAGGCCAGAGGCCAGAAGGGGGGGAGGCAGGTGTGGTGAGCCGGTTTCCTTCGATACGTGCGCGCTTTGAACTCGTGGGTTTGGTCAAATACGAGGGTACTACATTATCCATTCTATTTACGCGACGAGGACTGATCATAATAAAGGCAAAACAATAAAAATGCATTTAATGATAAAAAGTATCTTCAACAGCTTAGAAGAAATTGAAAATAGGACATATTTCCAGTGGAGTAAGCAAATATGCTCACACAGAAGGGCCATATTTACTGTATGTATATTTTTTTAAATAACTACCAAATAAACTGTTATAAACATGGATATTGGGTTTTGATAGAGAATTTAATAAAAATATATTCTTTGGGAGACATCTAGTACAATAAAGAACAAACTCTTCTTAACAAAGAAGATTAATTTAAGGATAACAAAATCAACAATGCGATACAATAGGTAAGCTTTCCTTAATTAAACTTAAGATGCTACACATATACTTACAGAAAATCAACAGTATTATTGAAAAGAAAACTTAACATTATTTGAGATCCACAATCGATAATACAGGTATAGTCGTTATTCCTGACTGTGCCACTTTCATCTTACCACATTTGACGCACTTAAAGCGAATTTCGTATGACCATTTGTAAAACAAAAAATTGTACTGCAAATGTGGCCAGACGGTGACCATATTTGTAGCCATGCAAATTGCTTGTTCACGTATTTACGAATAAAAAACACACTACTACTTTGACAAATAAACCAAGAAATAGATCGATAACAGATTAAGGTAATAGAGCCAAAAAAATTCAACCGGGGTAATCTGATAATGCTTTCCTTCCATGTTATCGTAAGAATAAATATAAAAGTGCGATTATGAGATATCGGTATTACAAATTAGTGTACATGAACAGCGATTTATTAGAATACGTCCATCTCAGATAGCAGAATAAAGAACAATGAGCCAAGCCATACTTATTTTTGGTGCAGTTGCATTATCTGTGTGCCCCTGTCGAGCAGGTGTAATTAAAGATGGTGTGGAATTCCAGTCCAGTATTGTGATTTGTCCTAAGCCGAGTGACCCGTAAGTTGAACCAACAGTTAAATACTCGTATATTGATCTAAAAAGATTGATATACAGAATGGACCTGCCGCGTGGGAATAATTTGTGGAAGTATTCAGTGTTTATGTTTCAATGTTACAATAATTATACGATTATGACCAAGTTCTTAGTTCTTAGGTTGCATGTTCGGTTGTGTTCACTTTTATTAAATCGATGTTAGAAACCCTGCAGGAGCACTAAAGGATCCAATTGCGAAAAAGAGCTAGAACCTAGAAGATTAACGAATGGTGGTAAAGAGCTCAAACAACAAGTAGATCTTATTGACTTTGATAAAGGCTTTGATATAGCTTTTTGAACTATACTGTTATAATTCTACAAATTGTGCTAGAAGTCAAACACCTATAGCTTACTATTTATTTTGTTTACCGCAACAAGCTGTATACCTGGAACCATAGTCTTGAGAAGTTCCTGAGACAACACAGAAATTTACAACTTTATTTTTTTTATATTTTTTTTTATATTTTTACTTTTTTCTACCACATGTACGTAACTTGATCGCACAAAGATGATCGCACGTGATTATGATCGATAAATCAAACTATTTTTGTGTCGTAGAGACAACCAATTACAAGTCGACATAGAACTCAACGAGCCCGGTCATTGGGGGCAATAGAACGAACATATAGCTACCCAGAATCTGGATTCTTTCTAAACCCAATCACCTGTATTCTGGTAAGTGCACCCGTTCACAAAATCGCAGAATGGATTGGTTAAAACATCTATTAGCATTCATAAATGGTATATATACAGTCCTAAGTTATAAAAGTTATCTAAATCGGCATAGAACAGACGATACAAAAAGATGCGTAGAATAGACAATTTAGTTTACCAAACTAGATAGATTCGACTTTGATCAAGCTTGTAAATGAACATGAGCATTAGAAGAAAAATGTCTCGGTTCTTCAAAATTTGATGAGGAAATGAGATATCAGAAAACTAGCTATAGTTTTCAGCTCAGGGTTATTCTGGACCAGAATGCCGGATTTTGAGGTCACATATCCGGGAGTTAAGATAGTAAACGTTTGAAAGTAAAAAAATGTTTGTTACTAGACATCATAATTTCAGATCCCTCATACCATTATGGGGCCGTTCAAGTATTACGTAAGCAGATTTATTACAATTATTTACCACCCCATTCCACATCCCGCTGGTCAGCAAAAGTAAGCAAATCTCTTACCCCCTCCCCCCATGCTTACGATTTGTCAATTAATGTATTGTTTTTCTTTTAATATTATAATTATAATGTTATAATTATAATCTGAAAAATAAGAAAATAGATTTAGGATAGAGATTATATTTTACTGATACGGTATTCAACCTAGAGTAAAGGACAAGAATATTATATCTAACATAACAAACTTATTTTAAATTTTTGGTACATAATTAAAATCAAATTAACAGTCTTCAGTCCATGAAACCCGAATCCATGATTCTAAGTTTTCGATGACATTGGATTGCTTCGATTGCTGCTCAGTGTTCTGAGTTTGCTCGCTTTCAACGGATTTTGGAATGTCTGCATCGTTCTCATCGAGCCATTCAACATCATAGTGCTCTAAATTTTGAATAATGCACATCAGTTCATTAGCACGACGAGCAGCGACTCTTACAGGTCTAACTGTCCAATCAGTGAGCGTGTTTTCTTTGTTATGGATATTTTCGATGTGACGATCTGGTGACTTGATGGAAGCATGATAAAGAGCACACATTTTGCATGTTCTACTTGATAGCCTCAATTTTACCGCCGGCCAAAAATAATCGTAGGGCATTTGCAGGAAATCTTTGAGTGAAGCACTTAAGCGTAGAGCTAAATTGACTGGAAGATTAAGAAATTGCCCTCCTTCATCCAAAACCAAGTCATCAACTGTTTGTTTTACTTTTACAGGTGGTGGAAGGAACCTATTGTCTAGAAATCAAAATGGGCCACTTCTTGGACGACAGCATTCTGTATTTCTACATTTAATGTCTGGAAAATCAGGAAGATCTTGTTCACCTGCCCCAACATATTTTGCATTAACATTATAGCCATCAATTTCCATTGAACTCCATACCTCAGCTAATACATTTCCTGCAAATTCGAAATTAGATCTTTCTAAACGTTCATCAATTGTAACGCCAAGTTTATACAAATGAGATCCAAAATGGTCATGAGGCAATATTAAACCAGCCAGTTCCCGACTAAGAGGAGCCATTCTGCGCTCTACTCTGTTATACGCACTTCTTCCAGGAGCATTGGTAGCTAAAAACAATGCATCGAGATCATGTCGCTTAAAGTGTTGTATATCAAACCCTATGACCTTTTGATAACGTGGATTTTCATGTGGCCCTCCATCAACCGTCATGATTACCACTGGTTTTACTAGTCCATGGTTAGCTTTAGCTAATGGTCAAAACTCATCAAGTTCGAGAAGTGTCTCGAAATCCTGTGCATGAGTGTTAGCAGTAGATGAACTATGCTTTCCACATCGAATAGCGATGTATGTTGGTCCAGAATATCCAACGGATTGCGGTTGTCCTAGCATATTGGAAGTGATTTTGATACCAGCATAAACAGATGGCATTAATTTATGACGCTCACGATTACCCAATCGTGATCAGGCAATTTGATTCTATATTCCATGTGCATTAGAAGAGGTGCTAGCTTGTTTGCCGCAGTTACGCCAATAGGGACTCGAGCTTTATCATCTTGAGATAAGAAAAATACTTGATCTGGTCCAAGTATGGATGCTATGTTCTCTAAATAATGGATTGATGTTTCAGCGAACTTGCTATCTAAGTGGCTCTTGTGGTGATCAGTTCGAGCCCGAATGAGCTTAACAGGGACTGTCGATACATGTCTTCGTCGCTCTGCAGAATTAGATTTTCTGAGAATCAAACGAAGATCTGTCGCACTGCGACTAATGTCAAATCTTATTTTACGTAATTCTTGTGTGACTTCATCAAGAGTTTTTACCCTGCTAATTGATTCCGTTCGTCTTCTATCATCTGCTGCATTTCCAAATAAAGCTATATCCGCGATTGTTTTCAATAGTGAATGTTGACTGCTTTCAAGATTAGGACGGCCCAGTGAATCCCTCAGAGATAGCCTTTTTTTTATTTCTGGATCTTCATAACAAATATCTTCTAACTTTCTTTTCATACCATCCCTGTGTTTCTTCTGGGCAACTGCGTTTTGAACCTTCCTGGTTAAAGACTGTTTTGCTGTTTTTATTTCTTCGCCCAACTTAATGATCCGTTTATCAACTTCAGCACGGCTTGGCATAGTATCTCTGGCAGAATACAAAGCATTCAGATTTTTTTCGAGTAGAGCAATCTTATTTTTCATAGCTTCCTGAGAAGGTTTCTCTGTTTATCTGTATTTTCATTAATTTCGCATTGCTGTTGTGATTCATTACCGGGTTTTGTTTTATCTTCTTCCTCTTCTTTAATATTTGAAGCTGACTGTATAATTTGTGTTTTTTCCGCAGGTTTACAGGTTGCCTAAAAATAAAAACTTTCTATGGCTTCGGCTAAAGATTCTCTTATTAAGCTACATAAATACAAAGTATGACAATATATATGGTAAATACAAAACCCTATGGCTTTAAATCTAATATGTTTAAACTAGCAATTCGTTCCGGTCACAAAATACAGGGTGTTAGTTTTCTGCATATATGTATAAAACTAACATCCTGTACTTTTTGACCAATTGACGGAATTAAACATAAGAAATAAATCTATAATATAATGAATATTACCTCTATACTTTGAGATAGGCCATAATAAATTTCTAATCAGTAAAGAGAAACTTTTTGGCGATTTCTAATATTTCTAGTACTCATAGGTACCTAAAATGATTTCGTCACTCACCTTAGAAAAAAAATTTAATAGATTGGATTGATTCAATTCTTCTTCGATTCTCTTAGATACAATAATATCTAGTTTCGGATTTTGCTTGTAATTTGTAATTTCGCCACACTTCGTTAACTAACTTTTGTACATTTTGTACTTTCGTGCTTGTATGAGATTTTTTAAAACTTTGAAACAATTTTTGGTATAACTTGTAGTTGTCTATGTGAAACGACATCTTATTTAAACATTAAACTTTGCGGGAAACCCCGAAAATGCGATTCGTTTTCAAGCAAAGACAATGTGAGGGTTGCCATTCGTGTAAAAAAGTAAATAACTACCGATGACGTAATCATCATCTAAACTCCCCTACCCCCCATGTCATCCAAAAAAGGGAAAGCAAGAGCTCCCTGCCCCCCATAGTGCTCACGTAATATTTGAACGGCCAATACACAATTTCAAGGGATTTGAAAGATACTGATGCCTTCCATCAGACAGTGGAACATCACAAAAATGGATTCAGAGATCCACCTTACAAAGGATTTGGTACTGATACTATCTCATAGGTGTCAGTATTTTTCTCAATCCCTTTTTAGCCCCTCTAAAATGCGTGTTTTGGTTAACTTTAGCTGGAATACGTTGATCAATGACTGCAGGTACCCAATTAAAAGCGCGTATTAAGGCATTGGAGATCCTAGCACCATCTATTATTTAGTAGAAGAACCAAACAGGCTGACCCTTTTCAAAGATGGTACCTTTCAGATCCCTTTTGGGCACCGGAATATAGTATATGATTGGATACCTCCAGGCTGAATATGGTTATCAATCGTTATATCTACCTCGATTCCAAATAGCAAAGTAATATCAGCCTTTTGGAAAACTCTCTAATGTTGTAGATACAAGATTTGTCCGCAGACGGCAAAGGTGGCACCGTTTCAGTTTTAGACGGAGGACTTTACTCAAAAAGGTTAACAATTAAACTAAGATCCTTATCTGGACATGGACTACACTACAAGATTCAAATATATACTTTATAAATAATGAGGTAAATAAATATATTTTGTTAAGCTATAGTTATTTTTCCCTATAAACCCTTTAGGGCCGATTTCACCAACATTAATATTATGGACCAATGGGAAAATACCTTATCGAAATGCAATTTGACGGAAGCTGTCAAAGGTCTCAGAATATCAGTGATTTCTATTAAAATGTTAAATAAAAACGTGAAAATTCGACTGTATTATAAACAAGACCACTTTTTGATTCTAACATGATGCTTTTGTACAGAAGAAACAGGACAACTTTCATATATTTTGATATATGTTATAGGTTTACATTTAACAATCCGTTATCCCCCTCAGCGAATGGGAATGCAGCAAATAATAGGTCGATTTTCTAGCTGTTAAATTTGGCAGCAGATTTAGACGTTTGTTAATGCATGTCACTCTCGAATTTACCAACTTCAATATACTGAAAGTTATCATTACATACCTGTTGAATAGTGTGGTTTTGCCTGTATTTTACAAGAGAATGGAATATAAAATACATTCCACCCAAATCATCATCTTCTTTACGTCATAATAGTAATCATTTATTAATTTATGGGTTAATGAATTTCTTCAAAGCAATAAAAACATTGTCCTCTCCAACCTAAAACACAGATAATATGTGTAAGACGTGTCAATCCCTACATCGCCCTGATACATAATGCAATTACTATGGACATAGACAAAAAATTATGAAAAATGTTTCACAAATAATGTCTCCTAAGTTCAAAAATCAAAAAAACTGGTAATGTTTATTGTTTGTCTATTTTTCTTTTTTGACTGGCGGGGATATCTATCTGACACAAGTAGGGTTGCCAAGTCTGACGACGATCACGTCCCTGGTGGAGGGTGCGAAATGAATCTTTTACATTTGCTGGTTTTGAATTTTTTTCGTGAAAATTTATTAGGTGGCATCTTTGGTTCATTCCGGAATCGGAAAGATCTCCATTTATGAAAATATTTTTGGTATCATCTGACCCTTGCAATCAGTGCACAAACACTGTGTGTGACATATGAGCATAACCCGCTGCCCTATCAATACAAATTTAACATACAGGTCGCCTAGCCGTGGGGATGCAGTGGTCGTGATGAATATCACGGCAGCAACTGATGATTTGGGCATGTCTGGTAACAACGTATGAAGTGAAACTCGCTAACATCACAAATTTGAAGATTTTGTACAATTTCTTTGAAAATGGTGAAAGATATGTCTGATTTGGCAGGGTAATGTCGCAGCCAAATAGCAGTCACTCTTTCTGACACAGTCCGGATCGAAAGATGACGATACTCGTGAAATGTATTGATACTTCTAAATATAGGAGCGTATCGAACATCCCTACTGTCAAGATGTATTACCCAAGGTACCGACGGAGCTATTTTGCGGCGTCCTGGAAATAATTTTAAATTTTCATTTGCATTTTTTCACGTGATGTGCAGTGATTTTTGGAAAAATGTCACGAATAGTCTTTTAAGGCGTAGTAGAGTATATTTAGACAGTTGGAGAAACTTACTCCACTGGGACCAGGAGGGTAAAACGGGATATTAATGCACAATCTGGCAACCCTGTCGCACCCTCACGAAATGGCCGCTGATAACCACACAAGTCACCGTGTTGTCATTGAATAGCATGGAATTAAACCTTCAAAGTATATGTTTTGTGACTGGTACCAAGAGTTGACAGATCCCACACATGTGCCACTCCTTGAAATGCAATAATCAGCTGTATTCAAATAATGTCTAATATAAATATGACCTAGAATGTGTACTCGTGAAAAAAAAAATTATGTTAAATTTGTAGTTTTTTTTACAAGTTTTACTTTTGCTAGTAGCTTTGAGGCATATATTTGGGAATTCCTTAATCGCTGTGAATATAGTGTGGATGTTTGTTCAGTTCCTGAACAACGAAAAGTATTCAACTTTATGGATGTATGGATATCAAAAAACCTTAATCGTTTTGTGGGAATATCAATCTAAGGTGCCATAATGGTTCTGATGAACGGCAAGTAAATGAATGAATGTTTGGAAACGAGCAATATCTTTTGGAAGAGCCTGTCATCAAGTAGGTGCTTAATGGCTATCTGCAAGAGGTTTATAGGAAAAAACACCCAGTATCACATATCAATTGAAGAAAATAATATAAGCATGAATAAAAAATCAACAATAGTAATTAAAACATGAATTGAATTCAAAAATCAAACATTTTTTATAATTTTGACCGAATTATATGTAATTCCTTAATATTCAATAAGCTGGTGATGTTTCAATGACAAGTTGTCATCTCATACCTTGACAGTATTTTGTTTTCAACATTTCATAGCTATTGGTTGCTAAAATTTGTTGATTGGAATTTGAAGCTCATTGGCTGTATCTGACGGACTGTTACCCTATAGGTGGAGAATAACGGACTGTTGTTGGTGAAGTTGGCCCTTAGAGTATTATATATTCATGGCTTTGTAGCTTGAAACTGGGAGTTGGTGTTTTTACAGTACTTTCCAGTCAAATCTTCAGATCTTAAGGCTTCTCACTTAGTCATATGGATTCTTATGTAAAACACAAAAAGACACTCAATTACTTTGCCCAGGTATGCTGACGAGGCCTACTCTACGAAGCCTCGACTGCAGTCGAAATATGCATGTCCAGAAGAAAGGATATATTAAATAAAATATGCGACGAACCACTTCAAAAATAGTTTATTGAGATGTTAAAGGTCGTACAGCAAAGTATAAAATGATTTTATCTCTGACAATATGCGTACTTCTAATAAATCGGTATCTTGAAGGAATTTGTTGTGATGGGAAAGTAGACAAGAACATTTGCTCATCAATACAAGAAAGTATACACAGATATCATTGGCATCATAACTAACAAGAACTTATAAGAAAAGTAAATCGGAAATATAGAAGAATAATAAGATGTTTTCTAAATATACAAGGGTGATACCATAATTTATATATGTATGGTGGACAACATACGCTAAAAATTGTTTCATTAAGAACAATAAAAAACATTCGTCTGCATTAACACCCCCTCTTTTGCACCTACAAGTTCTTCTATGTATCCTAGAAAACAAAGAGATAAAGATAAATAAAGAAATTGGGCATATATATAAAGAGAAAATGATCATGCGGAGAAAAGTATATAACAAAAAGTAGGAAAATCATCGGCAAAATCCGCAAAAAGGAGGAAAGTGTATTCGAGCAGAAAATAGGATAGGTAACCCGAGCGATACGTATTTCTGCTGGTTGGCTTCATCAGGCCCGAGATGAATGAACATATGAAACTACAAAAGTAGATACACATGCCCACACATCCGGATACGGGTGTAACCTGAGGAAACGAAGATGGAGAGGGAAAAAAACGACACACGAAGTCCACAACAAGAGCCAACCTACACATGTAGTATAAAACGGCTCGAAGACCTCGAATTTTCAAGGAGACATCTAACCAAAACCAGGTTATAGCCACTTGCTGTGGTACTTCAAGCCCAAAGGATCTACAAAGAGAAAATGATCATGCGGAGAAAAGTATATAACAAAATTATATATATATATATATATATATATATATATATATATATATATATATATTTTCCCTCTCCATCTTCGTTTCCTCAGGTTACACCCGTATCCGGATGTGTGGGCATGTGTATCTACTTTTGTAGTTTCATATGTGCATTCATCTCGGGCCTGATGAAGCCAAAAAGCAGAAATACGTATCGCTCGGCTTACCTATCCCATTTTCTGCTCGAATCCACTTTCCTCCTTTTTGAGGATTTTTCCCATGATTTTCCTACTTTTTGTTATATATATATATATATATATATATATATATATATATATTTAATTTCTTTGGGTATTGCAAAAGTACACTCTTATAACTTAAAATCTCAAGCTTTCGAAGATCTATGTCTTCATCGTCTGGAGTAAGTCGGCGAGATTGTTGCTGAAATTGCTTTTAAAACAACAGTGAAGGGAACACATAGTCGACGAATAGAAAAAAACTGGACTGATGAGGTTCGATTAGGACGGAATTATTTTATTTTTAAATGGAAAATCATTCTGAAATGTTTCTTTTCAAAATAAGTGTTGATTGATTTTGAAGAAGTTTGGGGATTTTAAAACTATCAACTATTGAAAGTTCCCCCATCTTTTTTTCCACTGATAACCTCCACATTATCCAACACGTGCCGGCCGGCTGGATGGTGGACAGGGATAATGTGCAGGTTTTCACTAGAAAAAAAGACTATTGTGACTATTTCGGCGCGTTGTTTCGGTGTAAAGTGATTCATGACTAAAATTGTAGTCAATTGAAGTTTCAGAAACACGTGTAACCAAACCACTCGGTTGGTAAATATCAAAGTCATTCCATGTTTCAATACCGACATAAAAGGTGCCGTACCCGGTACATATAAATATAAAGAGAAAATGATCGAAAAAGAAAACGATCGTGCGGAGAAACGTATATAACAAAAAGTAGTAAAATAATGGGGAAAATCCGCAAAAAGGAGGAAAGTATATACAGGGCGTCCGCAAAGTTAGGGTTTTCCTTTCCAGAAACAACTACCCTTGAAATAACAAACGTAATGTGTTGTGAAACGAGGGCGACCAAGTAAAAAAAATAAAGGAAAAAGTACTCACTCTCCAGTTGACGAGAAGGGCTAAGTACGTCTCTGCCCGAAATCATACCGCTCCAACAGAAAATGAAATCAGCTGATGCGCTACCGAGCAGACGCCGGCGGTGGTGCAGACCATGAACAGAGGTAACAAATATGACCATCGTGCAGAAGCCACATTGATTGTCTTACACTTAATGGCACATCTTCTAACAAGGAAGGCAAAATGTTGCGTAAAAAGTCTAGGTATTGCATCCCGTCCAATCGATTTGGGAGAATAAATGGTCCAATGAGCATACCGTTCACCATGCCAGCCCAAACATTCACCGAAAATGTTTGTTGAAAATGTGCCCGACGGACTGCGTGCGGATTTTCTACTGACCAAACACGAGTGTTGCGAAAGTTATTCACC